CCCTTTTGTTAGTTTCCTCCTAACCTCCATGTCAGTCCTGTTTCATAACAGTGGCATTATGCAGGATTTGTCCTTTTGTGATTGAGATATTTCACTCAGCATAATGTCCTCCAGGATGACCCATTTTGTACATTTCACGAGTTCCTTCTTTTTCAGTGTTGCCTAGTATTTCATTGTGTGACTATACCACATCTTTATCCATTCATCTGTTAATGTAAATAGGTTTATCTTGTTGTTGTTGTTATGTGTCATCAAGTAGCCTGTGGCTTATAGTGACCCTGTGTACAACAGCTCTAAACCCAGCCCTATCCTAAGTCATACTTATTGTGTCTGACACACTTACCTCCATTAAACCAATTACTGAGATAACCTCATTGAGGGTTTTCCTCTTTTGCAATGTCCCTCCACCCTCTTAAGCATTCTGTCTTTCTCCAAGGACTGGTCCCTCCTTACGACATGCCCTAAGTATGTTAGATGGAGCTTCAGAATCCTTGCCTCAAAAGAGCATCCTGGTTTCACCCTCTCCAGGATGAACCTGTTTGTTCTCCTAGCAGTATACTCAATACTCTTCTCCAGCACCACAGCTCGAAGGTATCAATTCTCCTCCTATCATCCCTCATCATTATCCAGCTTTAAAATACATAGCACATAATAGTGAATGCCATGGCCTGGATCAGGTGCAAACTGACATTGTTGCTCTTCAGTAATCTAGAGATGTCCTGACAGCAGACTTTCCCAGTACAATTTGTCTTTTGATTTCCTGGTTCCTGATACCAAAAGGGTTGATTGTTGAGCCAAGCAAACTAAACCTGTTAACCATCTCAGTCTCTTCACCATCTATCATGATACTGCCAATTAACCCAGTAGTGTGAGACAGTGAATCCAGGTTGCTTCTTAGAGGCAAGGATTTTGAAGCTCTGTCTCATACACTTTGAACATGTATCCAGGAGACATTAGTTCCAAGAAAAGTACGTAGAAGGGTAGAGGGACAGTGCAGGAAAGGAAGACCCAAGATGAGATGAATTGACACAGAAATTGGGGCAATGGGGTTAGGTGTGTCAGTGAGACTGGCTAAGGACAGAGCAGATTTCAGAGCTATTGTATTGCAGGCAACTTGATGGCACATAACGTTTTGTAATGTTGGTATGTGCATTCAAGGCGCTTGCGACTCATAGTGACCGTATGGACAAGAGCCCTAAACCCTTCTCTATCCTACGCAACCTCACTGGCTCTGAGAAGCCTACTCCCATTACCCCAATCACTGAATTGATCCATCTCATTGAGGGTCTTCCTCTCCTATGCTGTCCCTTCACTCTCCCAAACATGATGTCCCTCTCCAAAAACTGGTCCCTCCTTGCAACATGCCCTAATTATGTCAGATGGAGCTTCAGAATCCTTGTCTCCAAGGAGCAGCCTGGTTTCACCCTCTCAAAGACAAACCTGTTTGTTCTCCTAACAGTCCATGGTATATTCAACACTCTTCTCCAGCACCACAGCTCAAATGCATCAGTTTTCTTTCTATCATCCCTAGTTACTGTCCAGCTCTCTGATGCATAGCACACAAGGTGCACCTTAGTCTCCAGTCTGATGTTGTTGCTCTTCAGTACTCTGGAGAGGTCTCTGACAGCTGAATTTCCCAATGCAAGTCATCTCTTGATTTCCTGGCTACTAGTATCAAGAGTGTTGACTGTGGACCCAACCAAACTAAAACTGTTAACTATCTCAATCTCTTCACCATTCATAATAATAATGGGCCAATAGGCCCAGTGGTGAGAATCTTTGTTTCCTTGATGTTGAGTGTTAATCCCTATTGAAGGCTGCA